GAACTCCTTTCCCACCAGGTCATTAAAGTGGGGATTAGGGAAGATGGAAACCATCCTGCTTTAAAACATCCTACATGTTCAGTGTAAAGTAGAGCATGCTCGGAGACCTTGGAGTGATGGAGTGAAGGGGAGTGGACTGGAGGATCATCGAGGCGGGAACCTCTCCCATTAAAGAGTTTTCCACACTCACATCACAGCAATAGAAACATGGTATTTGGATGCCGAGCTTAAAACAAGGGTGAATTTCAGGACCTAACATTCATGCAAAGTACCTAAGCCTTCTGCCTCGAGCATACGAGGTGCTTGGCACTCACTCCAAGAATGTAAATTCTTTTAAAAGTATTTTAATTCCAAAAGCAAAGTAATTAGAACATATGTGCCCTGCTTACATTTCATTAACAACAACAACAACAAATAGGTACAGAGCCCATGAGCCCTGCTGCATGGTCTGCTATCCTAGACCCTTCAACAACCTACACCCACTACTGGCACAGTAATATCCTGGGGAATTTTCCTTGACTGAGGATTGGACAGGACAGCAGTTTGCGTGCAGATCTGGAGGCCGGCCATGGTGGCCTTCATGCTCCTTTTCTGGGCAATTTTGTTGTTTTTGTTCCAGGATGGTGATCAACACAGAGAGCAATATCCTCCTATTCCAGTTTGAGAAAATCAAGTGGCAGTACTTCCTGGAACGGACCAAACAAAGAAAGAACAGGGATAAAGAGGACAGGGAGGAAAACCTCCCGGAAGTCACATCTAAGACTAGCACTCCGATTCACAACCTGGGGAGCTCCATATCTAGTAAATACCTGGTGGCCCAGGAGTCTCTGTTAAGTAAATCTCACAAGTCCCGCGTTCACCTGTTGGCATCCAGGACAACAACAAGTAAGAGAACTGACTCCCAGGCCATCAGAGTGGTACCCAATGGAGCAGGTCTTGGGCTGCCAGGACTAGTTTCTTCATGGTATATTTTGTCCAGTGGTTTCTTGATGATATAAATCCCACCTTTAAGGAAGGTGGGAGCAATTTTCTTTGATTCACCAATTTGTTAGCCAGCTCAAGGGAATCTCCTGATTTTTAAGGCCTAAATTTTCAGATTATTAGAATCTTTGTACAATAGCTAACATTAGCCCTTAATACTTGCTATTAAAACAAAAGCAAGCAATCAACATCCTCCCTCCACACCCCCTAGCCAAACATATGGTACGTAATTATTTTCTTAGGACAAAATCCTATATAGTGAAAGGCTAATATTCAAATCAACTGAATAGCAGAACAACTGGTTGCTATGACATGCACTGATCACCAGGAGGCAGACGCTCAATGCAGGAGTTGCCCCCTGGTGGTCAGTGTGCCAGAAGCTGGGCTCACGGCTGGTGAGCACAGCAGCAGTGGCAGAAGATTACCTAAGCCATCAGTTGGACATCCCCTGAGGGCTCCTGGACTGCAAGAGGGTGCAGGTCAGGCTGAGGGACCCCTCCCCAGTGCACGAATTTCATGCACTGGGCCTCTAGTGTTGTTATAAGGCAGAAGAAAAATGTTGTATGCAAAAGTATTATCTCTACCCCTGGTTGAGAACACGCATACCTGGAAAATATTAGTTATGAAGCAGGTACCTCTGTATGTGTGTGTGTGTGTGTGTGTGTGTGCGTGTGTGTGTGTTTAAGTGTGCAGTGGAGTGGCATGACTCATGCCATTTATAAGACATACAAAGAATAAATTGTGTGGGGACTAGAGTAGGCAAACTCCTTTTATTAACCTACTAGAGGCCCAGTGCATGAAAATTCATGCACTGGAGGGGGGGTCCCTCAGCCCAGCCTGCCCCCTCTCACATCCTGGGAGCCCTCAGGGGCGGGAGGGGACCTGGTGATCAGGGGAAGGTGATGCCCCCATCATACCTCTGCTGCTGCCACTGCCGGCAGCACAAGCCTCGGCCGGCCCTGTTTACCTGAGCTTCAGGCAGCCCTGGGTGGCTGGGCAGCCACCATCTGAGGCATGTCTGTGCCTTGGGCCGGTCTTGGGCAGCTGGGGTCTGAGGGGACTGGGGGACTCAGGAGGCAGGCACCTCAGCAGGGCTGAGGGGACTGGGCGCCACCATCTTGTGGCTGTGGGCGCTGCCATCTTTGAGAGAATGATGGTCAATTAGAATATTCCCTTCTTATTGGCTGTGGACACCACCATCTTTGAGGGTGCGGCAGTCAATTAGCATATTCCCTCCTTATTGGCTGTGGGTGCCGCCATCTTTGAGGGTGGGACAGTCAATTAGCATATTCACTTTTATTGGCTGTGGGTGCCACCATCTTTGTGACGGTGTGAGGGTCAATTAGCATATTCCCTCTTTATTAGATAGCATATTTGGTGTGTGAAGTTGGACCCATAGATTAATAGATCACCTCCCAGAATATAGAGGACGGAGAGTTTCAGATAATGCTTAGAGCTTAATAATCAGTAGGTGGGGTGATCAATCCTTAGGCTCCAGGTGACTATCTAGTTTCATATGACAAACAATAAGATGATGGTTTGAATGAAAAACAATCAAATTATCAGCTATGCCCCCATTATTCAGGCTTAATTGAATTATGTACTTACTATAGTTTTTTCATCAATCTTAATTTAGCAGGGTCATTAGAGGTGCCTCAAAGTCAAATAAAGCTAAAATCACCCCGAAGAGATGGAGATGGCAAAATGAGAGTGAGTCCTGTTTCTAAGGAAGTCATTACCTCAGATAGTGAGCGGGAGAGTCAGGAAGCAAAATCCCTTTCAGGAGGTAAGATGGATAGTGATACTTTAGTCTCAGTAGCATGCTCCAACTCTTTCTCTCTCTCTCTCTCTCTCTCTCTCTCTCTCTCTCTCTCTCCCTTTGTTCAGTCTAGTTTTTTAGCAGATCATTAAAGTTGCTTATCTTTGAGAATTCAGAATGTATAAAATGCCTGGCTTTTCCTAAGAGTGATTGGTTTTACTTAATTGTTTTCTTAAGAGCTTGAGGCCACAAAATGAGAAACTTTGTAAGAGCTAAATTTCCAGTTTTGGGCTCATAGCCTGACTTCCTTCCCTGCCATTTAGCCTCCTCAGTTCCTGGACAGTTATGTCATGAGTCTGAGTAATGAGGAACAGAAGAAAGAAAGGAAGTTATGTCTGATTTCAGAGGGTGTTTTAGGGGATTTCATGAGGAAGGAGATAGATTTGGGGACAGGTGCTATACATATGAGATAAAGAGATAAGAGAGATGGGGAAGGGGCTTTTAAGAAGAATTACTGGACATCCATAAATAGTATGTCCCTTTGTTTTTGAAGAACTTCGATAAAGATTTACAATGCCTTTCAAATAGTTTGGTTAATACAACAGTGCTTCTTTGAATCAAACTCCCTGCAGAGACTAGTTTTAAGGTGAGGGAAAACAATTAAGTTTTAGAAGGGCTCTACTAACAGTGGGTATCTTTGTATGTACCTATGTCTGTGTACCTACGTAGATATATACCTATAGTATAAAGTGCTAGGAGAGGCTTTGCTGAGCCAAAGGACAGCTGCATTTAAAAACTAGAAAGATATTGTCATGGTTGTCCTTTAAAGATGGTGTATCAATTTACCATCCCACCAAGAATGCATGAGGACTCCCACTGCACCCATGCCAACAATCTAGCATTTTCTCTCTCTTTTTTTGTTTGTTAATTCTCATCGGGGGAGATATTTCTATTGATTATTAGAGAGAGTAGAAGGGAGGGGGAGAGACAGAGAGAGAAACATTAATGTGAGAAAGACACATAGATTGGTTGCCACCCAAACATGCCTTGACTGGAGCCAGGGATTGAGCCTGTAACTGAGGTACATGCCCTTGACCAGAACAGAACTCAGGACCCTTTCATCTGCAGGCCTACCCTCTGCCCACAGAGCCAAACCAGCTAGGGCTATCTATCATTTTGCACTTGCTTATATCATACGAATAAATGGTCTTTGCATTTCTTCAAGAATGATCACTAACAAACTAAATGTTCATTAGTGGGCAATGACTAATAATAACAAATATATATTCTGCAGTATTACACAACAGATACAATTATATCACAAGAATATATATATATATATATATATATATATATATATAGACACAAAATATCATTATATAAAAAAGACAAGTCAATGAACAAAGAGTTATCACAATTTTTATGAAAAGAGAAAAAATTGTGTGGTTTGTCATACATGTACACACATAGGTGTGGAATGGTTTGTTCTGGGATTGAGAGTGGGGAAGATTTTGACATCTTAATTTTATTTTGTTTTATATGTTTTCATAAAATATTATTTAATTCACAAAGTGAAAGGGAGAAATATGAAGTTTTATTCCATCCTAGTATGTCCATACACAAACATCTTGGGATAAGGAAGATTATATGCTTAACACATGGTCGCATTTTATTTGCTAGTTATAGGTTGCTATAGTTGGTGATACAGACTTTCACTTGCTGGGTCTGACTAAACAAATGACTTCCACTTTTCATGACTCAGTTATTCCTTTCATAAAATGGGAATGCTACTTTCAGTGTACCTGTGAGGTATTGTAGGGGTCGAAAGGCCCAACTGAGATATAATAGCACCGACGTAGTAGATTTGCTCACCTGTGAAGACATTCTTAACTCAGATCTTAGGCACCTTGGTCTTGACCATGATATAGAGCAGTGATGGCGAACCTATGACACGCGTGGTGTGTCAGAGGTGACACGTGAACTCATTTATTTGGTTGATTTTTCTTTATTAAATGGCATTTAAATATATAAAATAAATATAAAAATATAAGTCTTTGTTTTACTATGGTTGCAAATACCAAAAAATTTCTATATGTGACACGGCACCAGAGTTAAGTTAGGGTTTTTCACAATGCTGATACGCCGAGCTCAAAAGGTTCGCCATCACTGATATAGAGTGACACGATGAATCTCTGGTTCTTGTCAGCAGCTTTTGGTGCTGCTGCTGTTGTGCAAAACATTTCAGGAACTCCTATTCAGGAGCTGCCTTTCGGTCATGCTGTGATATTTAGCATTTCCCAGGGGTGACATATCTTTTGAAGGTAGTTTTGACTTTAGAAAATGTCCAAAGATCATTTGGAGTCAAATTTGATTAATAAGATGGGAATATAATTTTGTCATTCAATTTTTCTTTAAAAACAGGTATGTTACTATGAATTTCTAAGGCCTATTTTCTGTGAATTATAAATGAGGTATGACATTTCAAAATATGTGTGGCGCATTGGGATTACATATGTCCCTCCATAATATGCATCTAGAGGTTAATGCACACTTACACACAAGTACTAGCATATTTGTTAATGACTTATTGCATTGAATATGTCATAATTTCTGGTATCATGGAGGATTTTTGCCCACATGATGGATGACATGTCCATTGGGCAACAGATATGTCAGTTTGCATCCCAATTAGAAGGGATTTAATTTTCATGCTTAAGTACTTAATGCTTTTCATGGGACACTGATTTTTCTTTTCTTTTCTTTTGGAAAAACTAGATGATACGGAGAGAGTACCCAAAAAACGACAACTGGAAACTTTTGGACACTGGCCCAAACACTCAAGGAGGAAGTCCCAGAAAATCTCTATGTCGCCCGACCGGTTCCTACTGACAGTTAATGCCCTGCAGCAAGCCCATCATTCAGGGAAGTATGCCTATCCACATAGGACCCAGTCCCAAGTCATTGATGTTTGGGAACCTTCAATTTCGCACCCAAGGAAGGTCCTTAGTTTCAAAGGAAAATCATTACAACATGCAGTTGACACGTTAAGAGTCAGCCACCCTCCCATAGATGTGAAACAAACCAATATTTCCCTTGAAATCCAGAAACTGCAGCCCAACTTGAAGAACTCTTTGCACGATTCCCGAATCCAGTCTTCCATACCCCAGCCCATGATTATCCGCTCCAGGATCTCTGGCAGCTTAAAGGTTGAAGATCAAGTCACCAGATCAAGTTCCATTGACGGGGCAGTAAGCAGCTTCAGACCCTTAACCAGCCTGCATGTCATTAAGGCAAACCGCATGGTGGCTCCACAAGTAGATACGACAACCCAGCCTGTCAAGAAAGAACGGCCTTGCTTCTGCCCGGCCCTGGATCCATTTAGAATGAACAGCGAATTCATGCTGTTGACTGTGAGGGAGGAGAAAGAGTACGAGGAAGCCAAGCTGAAAGAATATCAGGCCACAAAGCCCACTGGAGTGGTCAACCCAGAAAGGGCCAGAAAAGCTGCATGGATCAGGAAGATCAAAGGCCTGCCCATAGACAATTTCATGAAGCAAGGGAAAACCGCAGCCCCTGAACTTGGTCCAAATGTATTTATCTGAACCAGCCTTGTGAAATTACAATGTCTTGCAATAAAAAGGAAACCAAGTAGACATTGGTGTTTGGCTTATTTTATTTTATTTTATTTTATTTTAGTGAAGTTGGAATGACATAGGGAGGATGCTTGCTGTCAGTCAAACCTGGGAACAGAAATAAGTGGGGTCTGTGAAAATTTGGGAATACATAATCCCCAGGAACTCACTCTCTTGTTCCTGCTTCCTTGCATTTCATGTTTCCTCCATAGCCATGTGGCCCTGCGGACCCCACACGCAGTGGACTGATAGATGCGGATGGGAACACAAGCTAAGCTACCCTGATGCTGGACTGGACACTGCTCCCATATGGAGCGAAAACTCTGGACACTGGCTCTGATTCCAGCTCTGCTGAAGCCACAGCTACACTGCTTCCTCGGCGGGACAAGGGGACATGGGAGCTTGGGAACTCGGGGGGTTTAATTCCACAGAAATAAAGCTTTCTACAACAACTCATCCTCCCGTGCGAGGCTCAGAAAATTCCTTTTCTCGGGAAATCACGAGAAGTGCACTCCCACTAGCAACAGATGGAGATGTGGAGATCTCCCTACCGCTAACAGTATCAGGGTCCAGGCAGGTGATTTAGAAGAGTGCAGTCCACCATTGGAGAGTTCAAGCCCCATCCTAGTCTGTGGCCCAGCATGGCCATAGGATGCTGTGAGATAATAGAAAATATCTATTGGCCTCTGCCCCTCATTCTTGGCACAGCTCCTGAAAGCCCTGTAATTTCCCAAGCAATAAGAATAATAGGAATATCTTTTGTTCTAATATTTGTCTTTGACCCCCTCCCTGGCACAGACATCTTGAAAACCTTTTAATTCCTAAGTGATAACAACACTTAGTGTTCTAATGATGTCACTGGGTGGGCTCCTCGATGGGCTCTTATCACCAGAAAAAACAAGCCATGAGGTTTGGAAAGAGAGGCTGTAAGTGGAGTTAACAATTAGACATGCCTGCATGAGGAAGCTCCATAAAAACCCCAACAGCAGGGGTTTGGAGAGCTTCCCGGCTGGTGAACACATCCACATCCTGGGAGGCGACACACCCCAGCTTCACAGAAGCTCCTGAGCTCCGGACCCTTGCAGACCTTGCCCTATGTATCTCCATCTGGCTCTGCGATTTTTTTGTTTTTTGTTTTTGTATCCTTTTATAAACTGGTAAATGTGTTTCCCTGAGTTCTGTTAGCTGCTCTTGCAAGTTAATTGAATCTGAGGAGAGGGGTCCTTGCAAACTTTGATCTATAGCTGGTTGGTCAGAAGCACAGGTGATAACCTGGGCTTGTGACTGGCATCTGAATACGTGTGTCGTGTGTGTGCGTGAAAGAGAGAGGGAGAGAGAGAGAGAGAGAGAGAGAGAGAGAGAGAGAGTCTTGTAGGACTGAGCCCTTAACCTGTGTGATCTGATGATGTCTCCAGGTAGATAGTGTCAACATTTAATTAAATTGTAGGACACCCAGCTGGTGCTGCAGAGAATTGCTTGATGTGGAGAAAAACCTCAAGATATTTGGTGACAAGAAATTAAGTGTTTTGTTTTTTTTTAATATATTTTATTGATTTTTTACAGAGAGGAAGGGAGAGGGATAGAGAGTTAGAAACATCGATGAGAGAGAAACATCGACCAGCTGCCTCCTGCACACCTCCTACTGGGGATGTGCCCGCAACCAAGGTACATGCCCTTGACCGGAATCGAACCTGGGACCTTTTAGTCCGCAGGCCGACGCTCTATCCACTGAGCCAAACCGGTTTGGCAGAAATTAAGTGTTTTATATGAGTAGTAAAGAAGACACACAGGAGAGATACACAGTAGGGAAGAACTAGTTTTTTTCCTACACAGGATATAATGTGAATTGAGATTTTCCTATACAGATGGTAATGAGTTCAAATAGTATGCAAAACAAAAACAACAAAACAAAAACAACAAAAACCCCAACCCCACAACCCCTCACAACCTACATGGCATGGGCTGTCTAGATGCAAAGGTAACCTGTTCACTGCCTGCACTTTTCACTTTCAAGTACAGGAATACTATTGTTTGCCAAATTGAAAACAATTTCTTTTCTTATTAGGTTTGAAGTAGCACTGTCAAATAGCCATGTAACAATAGAGATTTTAATAGAAAGAATTCTCTCAATTAAGGAAATGTGCTAATTCACATTATTCCATGAGTCTTCAACAGCAGCTGGACCTGTAGACCACCCGGTAGGATGCTGTTATGATTAATGTCAAAGATGATTTACGACCCCTGAGTTTCACATCCTTCATATGGGCAAGATCACACCATCAGCAGCTGAACTTAAAACAGTAATGCGAATACCATCTTCTATTTACGAGGTGCTTACCCTGTACGTTACCATTATCATCCCCACTTTACAAAGAAAGAGGTACAGAGGTTAGCTAATCAATAAGAAGAGGAGAGGAGGTGGGGGGCTTTGGGGCAGCTCAAACCCAGAAGCTCACACTCCGGGGACCAGCTCTCAGACTCTCTATTCCTTACTCTTTCCGGGTGTGTTTTCCTCTCATAATTAAACCCTCCACTACTTACTGGAGTCCTGCTTTGTTCTTCTTACTAACTTTTTACCCCTTCGCAGGAGCACATCAATTTTTTTCCATTGCTTCTAAAATTTAAGGTAGAAATATGATACCCTCGCCTTCGGACATTGATGCTGGTAGGAATACTAATAACAGCTCTCAGGTGGCACTAACACCTCCACGCGGCTAGCCACGCCCCCACTCGCCCCGCACAGCTTGCCCCGTCCCTGGTCGCTCCGCCCCCGAGTCG